CCAGTCAGCTTGTTTATTAAACCAATCATAGTGACATATAGTCACACAGTTTACAGAAGGATGATTCCACAGAGATCATTCTAGACCTATTGTTGAAATAATAACACATCAGATATAGTGTAGTTGAGTTTGCGGTAGGCCTAAATTTCAGAAACCTGGACAGCTAAGTGAACTTCATCTTCCTGTTTTGAAAAAATTAAAAATAAAAAAAAAGAGTAATAGAGAAGTTCAGCTTGGATAGACCCAGTGAAAGTTCAAAATAAGTGTTGCTTAACAGAGAAGACAGGAACACTTTAAAGGTGGATAAATGCCACTTTTAAGTTGGCAATGCAATGGGTATCAGTCCACAGGGAGTAGTGTGAAGGAGTGTCTCTTTTGTACATATGAGAAAGATAGGCAGTGGTGAATGACTCCAGAGGAGGTAGAAACTTTCATAGATTAATGGAGGTTTCTTATTTTCTGCTAAGGATTTAAGCCATTGGTACAGGGATAGCAAATATTTTATGCTGTGAATCAACACTGAATCAACCAAAGACTTCTATTTTTGAACTATCTCTTCTGAGCAACATAGAGGATTAATTGGAAGGAAAAATAAGAAGCTCTTTAGAAGAGCTTTAACTTTATAGATGCAAAACTTTATAGATGTGTATAAATTAGTATAGAGACAGGAACATAATAAAATGTAATGAAAAAGAATTGATAATGTTTGCTGATTTTCTCTGATATTAGAAGTAAGAGGGAAAAGAGAAATAGAAGACCTATGTTTAGTTTCTAGGTGAGCTATTGATCAGTTAGCAGTGTTTAATTGATTGTGATGAAAATGAATGTAGCCTATGTTAGAAGTGGTTTCAAAATGGCTTAGTCCAACAAATGATAACCATGAAACCTGGCAGAAATGTAAATAAAGAAGGCTTGGAGTGATATGCTGCTGTGTTTTGTAGTGTTCATACTAAGAAAGTATTTGGGAAGTATATCTCTATAGTAATGGAAATACAGAGAGGTGTGCCCCTCTTTTCTATAATTTCAATACCCCATCTGTGCATTTAAATTATATAGTGATTTGATGCTGTGGATTGGCTTCATGAGTAAGAAAAAAACTAGCAAAACGATTTCTTATGTTTTCACCCTTCTTTAATTCCATCTTTCCTTCCTTCGTCCTTTCCTCCCATACTTCCCCCTTCTTTTCTTCCTTTCTTCGTTTCTTTCTTCAATCCCTTTTTTTCATGTATCATATAACAAAAATAAACTGGTAATTTACTTCCCTGTCTGTTGAGTACTAAACACCTTAAATTAGTGTCTGAGAGCTCTTTCTCCCCAGAGACTTCCTAAATTTGGGTTTAGCCATGCCAACATTCATTCCACTATTCCTGAACTTACTAAATGTATGCAATAATATTTGTAAAATTTTAAGCCTATTTGTTAAACACAAATAATGTTATACATACATAAATATGCATATATACATATAAATGAAGCTTTTGTATAGTAACTTCCTTCTAATTACAGACTCAATTCATTATTTTTTAGAACTAGTCAATATTAGATGGAATAAACTGTTGTTCCAGAACACATGCTTTGTTGTTACAAACATAGATTTGTTGGTGGATGGCTTTGATTGAGGCCCTATCTCTGTCTTCTACAGTGACCAGGACTGTGTGTGCCGAACAATGTGATGGCAGGTGCTATGGACCTTACGTCAGTGACTGCTGCCATCGGGAATGTGCTGGCGGCTGCTCAGGACCAAAGGACACTGACTGCTTTGTACGTTTAGGACTTCTCTCTCTCTCTCTCTCTCTCTCTCTCTCTCTCTCTCTCTCTCTCTCTCTCTCTCCCTCCCTCTCTCTCTTTGAATCAGACTCACATTGAATATTTAACACTGGATTATATTAAGATTAAGTTTGAACATTTTATTATTATAAAAGGCATTCTACCATTGAGTTGACTATTGATTGAACAGAATGAATTTGTACCAGTAAGATCAATTCTGACTTTCTGACATAATTTATGTGTGACATGAATATATTGAAGAACATGAATGAAAACATGCTGGGATGTTTTTCAGAAATTGAGAACATAATTTCCACATATTCAGTGCTTACAGGTTGCATTATTAAGTTTCATAAGTGAGGATGGCTTGCTTCCTGAATATTAATCTAAAGGTTATATCAGACAAATTGATGCATTTAGATATTTTACAGTTTGTACTGTTAACAAACTAATATTTTCTATTTATAAAATATAGACATGTTTATTTAAACCTATTTTAAACCTATTATGTGATAAACCATATGGCTAATATTTTTGAAGAAAATATTTTTATTTCAATAATACTAACATTTATAGGTTGTTGGAAATTTTTAAATTATGTTTGATATTATATACTTGATATAAGTTTTTGTTCTTTGAAATATATATTTAACTTTGTAAGTGATGATTTATTCAAGCTCATAAACCACAATACTAATTTTAATCTAACATAATAAACAGTACACTATTTTATTTTTAAAATGAGTACAACAAATTATTTTTCCATTTCTCGAAAAATCTACTGACACATATTAGAAATTTATTTTCTTGCACCAAACACATAGTAACATTGAAAATTTTAAGAACAGAGACTTTATCTAATAAGCAAAATAAAAAATTAAAGCACTGAAGCTGTAATTATTTATTCTTTAAATTTTAAAAATTAAAAAAAATCTTAATTTGTCTAATGTGATTCTATGGTGAAACAACACTAATTCTGGTGAACTGAAGTCAAGCAAAGAATAGCTGTTACACATCTAAGGATGTTACATCTAAGGAAGAGCCTTGGCAGCCAAACTGAGAGCTCTTTCTTTTCTGTCATTGGCATAAACAAGAGAGGACCAAGCTTGATTTTGAAGATACGGCACACTGCAGGTGTTGCATTAATGATTCCAAAGCCAGCACTGTGGTACACAGTAGGAAAACCTCTTCGTGTAGGATGTGGCACTGTGCCCTTTCTCTTGTATTCTTGTGATAAGCAGTACCAGGTGCTCTTGAGAGCTCTCATTTCATTACTGTATTGGAATGGTCCAGTGATTCCACTTGGCATTTATACAGAATGTTCATGAATGCCAGACTGATGCTTTGGTGTAACACATCGTGCTCGTGTGTTAACTGGAAGGTACATTTGCTCCATTCCTCTGGCTGATATCCCCTTGTTGCAAAGCAGTCTACATACACTGCATATCAGAGCAGAAAATATGTGAGTAATTCAATTATAGGAATACACGATGTTTCATGGTCATAAATTAAAACTTACTGAGTTTTCTAGATTGCTTTTTAATGGAGTCTTCCTATAAAGTGTCATCTTAGTGAATAATGTATCATCAGTGAGTCTCTTTCTGATTATGTGCCTTGTAGACCACCGTGAGAGAATTGTCATGTTGTGATAAAGTGTTTGTTGAAACAATTGATGAAGCAAATGCTGTGAGAAAACAGAATAAATTAATTCTTATTAATAACCATAAGACAATTTATAATGAAATGTAAAACAGAGCTTTGGTTCATGTTAGCTCTTTTACGAGGCCTCAATTATTCACAAGAAAGCTTCATTTCTTAACTAAGAGAGTGAGACTGTCAACGTTTGTTAGTCACATGTTTATATGTGTTTTCTTGTGATATCTAAAATGTAACTCTCAGGTAGGAAAATAATTCTCAATTCTTCTCAAATGAATTTGAAAATATGAATAAAAACATATCAGAAGACAAATTTATATTATCAAAAATCAAATGCCGTTTGAAATTGGTGTCTACCAGAAATGATGTACCATTATGAAAAATTACATTATTTTATTTAAACACAGGCTAGTGACAGCTCACTATTTCTTCACATGTTAACCCTTTAAGCATTATACTTGATCAGTCTCCAGATTCTACTTAAGTTCAGGTAAATCAATGGCAATCATTATGTTTCCTACTGTAAAATGAAGAAACTTGAACTTAACATGAAACACAAGGCATGAGATTGCCAGATCTACAGAACTGGGTACATACACTGACTGTAAAGTTTAAAATAAGTATGTTTAATCAGTGTGAGCTCAAGTAATCTGTCAGATTTGTCTAGATTGAACCCTATCCCCCAAATCTTAGTTTAAAACTGTGTTAATACATGCTACTCTACATTCTGGTAAAAAGAGATAATAGTGATTTCTGTCACAGAGAGGGTAAGAAATTGATAAAAAACTTAAAGGCACAATTACTTCAAGGTTATCAATTTTGGTAGGGTTAATAAAATTGAAATATAACACATAAAGTACAACACCTTTCACTAAATTATAATAGCAGTGCGTTTATTGACAGTAATAGAAGGAAAGTCATTTATAAATGGATTTGCTGTGTTGCAGGCCTGCATGAACTTCAATGACAGTGGAGCCTGTGTTACTCAGTGCCCCCAAACATTTGTCTACAATCCCACCACCTTTCAACTGGAGCACAATTTCAATGCAAAGTACACATATGGAGCTTTCTGTGTCAAAAAATGCCCACGTAAGTAACACATAAGACACATGAAAATTTCAAGTTCTACTTGAAAAATGAGAAGTTCATTTATGATTGTTTTCATTTGAAATTTGAATAATAAAATTAGTAAATTACTTTACATTGGTTATGGGTCCGGGATTCTATATTTCACAGTAAGAGGAAACAAGGATCAACATATTTATCTAATTTGTCTTGCCACATGAGGTCGTGCCAGACTTGACGTTAGAATGGTGGCTTACTGATGACTAAACACTTGACATTTTCTCTATACCTTGGTTTTCAACAAGCGACACTGTTTCTTAGAAGAGATCATTGTTTGGCAGAAATCTGTATGATAAATAAGGTTAGATATGATATAATTGAGTTTATGCCTATATGTGTTGCTGATTATTTACTTATATTAGAATATATGCCAGAATAATTGAATATATATGAAGATTGTTAAGTGATATTTAGCAAACTGATAACAAATGCTAATGATTAAAAAAGCATCATTATTTTGATTACATATTAAATAGCATATGTGATTATACATATATATGATCATATGTATATTTATGGATATATATCCATATATATTGGCATCTGTTGTTTAGTGACCAATTTTACCTATTATAGAATATAATTAAGTAATTAAATATTTTTAAATTAATATTTACATTGACATATTCTCATATGAGTGGAGGCATTGCTCACTGTAGGATGTGTGTGTGTGTGTGTGTGTGTGTGAGAGAGAGAGAGAGAGAGAGAGAGAGAGAGAGAGAGAGAGAGAGAGAGAGAGAGAGAAAGAGTTGGAATATATTTCTTTTAATCAGTTGAAAGCCCTCCGCTGCTTTTAAACTGTAACACTAAGACCCTCTTTAAACTGCTCACTAAAATTAGCTTACCAAACTTCAACCATCTTTGGAAACAAGGTCATTTATCTTCTAAACAGAGGCCTTACACTCCCTAGTTCAGCGACCTGAAATATAAAAACTCAACTGTTGAAGAAAAAAAAGAAGGGTCGGGCTTCTGTGCATCCTACAAAGAGTCCACTGTGGTGGGTGCTCTAACACAGATAGCTTGCAGTTTATACACATGGCTACCCCGATGAGTGATGCATCTCCCTTGTGTTAGTTACCTTTGTGTTACTGTGATTAGAATACCTGGAGGAGAAAAGAAAGAGGGGAAAGGTTCATTTTTATTGTATGATGTCTGAAATAGAGCATGGAATGGATCCAATGTGTGTATTGGAGCTTTTGGCAAAGACTCTTTTCTTGCATTGAGAGTTGGCCCAAGGCAGGTAAGAACCAGAGCCTTATGATCTCCCAAAGCCTTCTGGTAATACCTTACTTACAACCTGCAGTGCCTACCTTTGAAAGGGGCCACAGGCACAGCAAAAGCAGGAGATCTAGTCTTTAAAGTGTGATGTTACAGGGAACATTGTAGATTACAGATCATACCATTCATCTACCTTCGATCCCCCCTGCCTTTCAGACATTCCAATCTTTCTTCTTGCAAAGCAATCTAGGACTTTTGAGTCACTCCTTTCTCTATACAAAGTAACTGGGTTATTAGTAATTACCTAGAAAATGTCCCATTAGAAGACCTTCCCTTATTTCAGACTTGACACCTTCTACTACCTTGTCTGGGTGTCTTCTTCAAGCATTGCTGATTATGGAAATGCTGACCTTAAATCAACCCTGACCCATGGTTAGGTTCTGTCTCTATCAGGTCCAAAAAGCATGTAAGGAATGTTTGTTAACTGGTATACAATCCTGTACCATAGACACCATGCCTTGACTCTCAAAATCTTAAAGGTCTCTGTTAGTTTTTCTCTAGAACTTCATAACTCTGTATGTCATTGGCTGTCCAACAATGATGAAATATCACAGAAAGACTTGGAATGTATGGCCATGAAGCAGAACTACTAAGACCACATGTCTTTTCTGCTTTGGACACACCTCATGTTTGGTATCTTTCATAGCTTTGTATATAGGTCCAGAACTGTATTCAGTGAAGGTCGTTACATTACAAACCACTGTTCTTGCAAACATTGTGATGTCCCTCTTTTTATGATAGCTCTAGATGCAGAATTTTTTTTTTATTTTAAAGAGAAAGTACTGGCATCTCACAGATTGTTGATTTTCTAAGCATGTTACCAAGTCTAAGTAATAAGGTGTCCCTTGTTTAATTGGACACCTCTGCTAAAGTGAAATCTTTCAAACTTTCACTATGTATCACAAAGGTTTGGTAGCATTCAAATAAAACACTGGACACATTTTAAATATTTCCTCTTGGACCGGCAGAGCCGCTCTTGACCCGAGGTGGTTTAACTTCAGCTTCATTTGCGCTTCATGAACTAGAAGTATTTTAGACTTCCAGCTTGCATAATGCCATGAAATGAAGTGGAACTATTGAAAAACACAAACTAAACGTAATGTAGTTTCCTAAGTCTATAAACGAGATCTCTCTATCTTGGGGGCAATGTGGAATGTGGAGCAGTAGTCAAGCAGATACTCATGCTCAGCACACACTGCTCTTGGAGTGGAATTTGGGTATTGGAGATACTGCTTCAGGTTGGGGTATTTACAGAAGGACTTGGTTGAGAGAAAGAGACATATACATTGTCAATGATGCTATTTTCAAGTCAGAAACTATCTCTTTTTAAGGCTGATGGTTTAGCTTTAACATTTTATTTGAATTTTTAATCAGATAACTTCGTGGTGGATTCCAGTTCTTGTGTGCGTGCCTGCCCTAGTTCAAAGATGGAAGTAGAAGAAAATGGGATTAAAATGTGTAAACCTTGCACTGATATTTGCCCCAAAGGTGAGTGATCCTTCAGAATGTTTGGTTACAATAGGTCCTAACCAAAGGACTTCATGTGCTTTTCTTGCTGTATTGGTTTTGTGAGTTTTGTTGTTGTTTGTTTTGTTGTGTTGTGTTTATTTCTTAAGACAGGGTTTCTCTGTGTATCCTGGCTGTTCTGGAACTTGGTCTGTAGACCAGGCTGACCTTGAAATCGGAAATCGGCCTGTCTCACCCTTCTGAATGCTGGAGTTAAAAGCAAATCCTACCTTCATGTACATTTTAATAACCCAGTGGGACTATTTTCTCAGAAAAAAAAATCCCCTCCCACAATGATGATTGACAGCACCACACACACACACACACACACACACACACACACACACACACTTATACACGTTGCATAATTTTCTTGTTATTAAAAAAATGGCTAATAGTGGTTTTGACTGACTTTGAGTTAAACTAACAGACTAGATGAGGGGGAAAAAAACAACCAGGAACTCAGAAATCAAAGAATATTGCCTTCTTTTTGTTTATGCAATGCTAGAGATTGAACCGATGCCTTTAATCATTCTAGGCAAGTACTCTACAATCAAACCACACCCCTCCCCAGAAGCACCAAATGTTATAAGTTTGTCACAAAGTGTTTATTATACATAAATTATTTCCACATAAAAAATCTGCAAAGGGAAAGATCACACACCATTTACTCTCCCTTGTCTTAAAACCATATTTTAACAGATATGTGCAGTAAGAAGAAGTAGATTGTAAGTATCAAATCCATCTCACAGGTAATTTGTGCTGTAGAATTTGAATGAAGAAAGACATCTTACCTAGGCCTAAATGCTCAAATTCCTCATCAGAAGGAAACCTTGAAACAGGATGAAAGTAGACCTCATATCTCTCAAATGGTCAAATGGTAGGCTTTTGAAACACCTAGATTAGGAAAAGGAAACCTCATACTTTTAGACTACACACCTTGTGTGTGTGAATGACTCACTCTCTGTCTCTATATCTGTCAGCGTCTGTGTCTCTTCTCTCTCTCTCTCTCTCTCTCTCTCTCTCTCTCTCTCAGAATATGAATAATTCTGACTCACATTCAAATTGTTTTTCAAAGTAGAGCCTTTGGAAAGAATAAATAACATAAAAGTATAAATATTTAAATGCCCTAGTGCTGACTCATATCACAGTATTGTTATTTAATAAATATTTTAATACACTAGCATTATTAAATTGTAGGTTGTAGATGATTAGTCGATCAAGAAATTATTTCATGAATCTGCCAGCATTTTAAAAATGTTAAAAGTTGTATTTTAAAATGAACTTCATAATGAGAACTTTTATCTGGTAATGTAAAGTATTAATCGGTAAAAGTTTTATTTCAGTTAGCCTAAGTACTAACTATGTGCCGGCTCTTAAATTTAAACAAAACTCTTACAATGAGTCTTGATCATTAGATTGTGATACATAGAAAAATTTTCAATTCAGTCTCAGTAGTAAATGCTGATCAAAGATTCAAAACAAAGAACAGTGAGCTAATGAATAGAGTAGATAGTTTTCCTAAGAAGGAATACATACATACTGCTAACAAACAGTTATCAAAATGCTCAGTGCTACACTATCAGACAGATGCACATTAAAGCAAGTGTCCTGTCTCTCTCACAATGTGAGGGCTGTTATCCAAACTAATGACAAATGCTGCCGCTCCCGAGAAGAGACTGCAGACCCTGCTGCTGAAAATGTGCACTGGCACAGCCGCAGTGGAAGCCGGCTTGAGGCTTCGCAAGACCCAGGAAACTAGAGCTGTCATAGAACTCAGCTTTTGTTTATAACCAAAGGGTATAAACCAGCCCACCATAGAAACCTATACTGCCATGTGTATAGGTGTAGTGTGCATTATAACCAGAAAATAAAACCAGTCTATTGACAAATGAATAGATAATGAAAATATTATATTATGAAATTTTAGAAGGAAAATTAAATCATGACATATTTTAGAAAACGTAAAATTAAAAATCATCATGCTTAGCAAAATAAGCTAGGCTCAAAAAGGACAAATCTACATGTTTTATCTGATATATGGATTTCATATTTAAAAGTGTGTGTGTATGTGTATCTTGGTGTGTGTCTGTCTGTCTCCGTATGTATGTCTGTTGTGTGTATGACTAAGAAGAGATTCATGAGAATAGAAGGAAAAGACTTTAAGGGCGGAGAGATGGAATACATGTAATAATGAATTAATAGGATGAAATTTGCCTCTTAAGTGCTGGGATTAAAGGTGTGTACCACTGCACACAGTTATCCAATGCATCCTCTCTACCCTCCTACACACCCAGCTTCATGGACTGAGGAACATATGAACACACATAGGCTGTATGGGCATTTACAAGTCCTACAGAAATTCAAGCCAGACAAAATATAGCACCAAGAAGGAGAAGTAGACCCAAAATTCCTCCTCTTACTAAGAAGCTATTTGTAATAAATACTTGTTGGGAAAGATAAAACTGTTAATTGTACTTCAGGGCTGACCTCATGCTCAGGAGTAGGTAACCACCACAAAAGACTCCATACTTCGTTGTTGCTTGTTTGAGGTATGTGGGTGTGTGTTTATGTAGTGTGTGTGCATGCACTTGTGTTTTGTTTTGGCTTTTTTTTTTAAAGATTTGATGAGTTTTATGTTTTTACTTTTAATTTTATTTTCTTGAGTTTGGGGTTTACTGGGAGTGATTAAGAGAGAGGGAAAATATAATTATTTTAAACTTATAAGGGAGTAGGGTCAGTACTACTGAAGTTGCTTCACATATGTAATGCTAAAACATTTATAAATAGATGGATAGATAGATAGATAGATAGATAGATAGATAGATAGATAGATAGAAGACAGACAGACAGACAGACAGACAGATAGATAGATAGATAGATAGATAGATAGGACCTGATAGCTAATGCCTATAAATCCCAAAATTCCTTTTTATTATTAGCACTCTGGAGGCATAGACTGACAGATCTCTCTGAATTTGAGGCCAGCCTTATTGTAGGAGAACACTTGTTCATTCCGGGATGCTCAGACCCAAAATATTCACACAGAAAATATATTATTTGCAATACTGTTTGGCCAATAGCTTAAGCATATTTCTGGCTAACTCATATCTTAAATTAACCCATTTCTATTAATTATTAATCTGTGTATTGCCATGTGGCTGCAGCTTACCGGCAACATTCTCGTGCATCTGTCCCCAGCAGTGGATACATGGTATCTCTTTGACTCTGCCTACTCTCTCTATATATTAAGCCATTGGCTGAAAGAAGCTTCTTTATTCATTAACCAATAAAAGCAACACATATACAGAAGGACTTCCCACACTACAGCCTGGTCTACAAAAGTGAGTTCCAGGACAGCCAAGGCAACATAGAAAAGCCCTGTTTCGAAAATAAATAAATAAATAAATAATAATAATAATAATAATAATATCATTGTCTTTTAAGAAGGATATTTCAATTTTGAAATAAATGCTAGTAGTTTATAATAAAAAACACGAAGATGTATTAGCTCGGAATGTGCTTCTCAGCTGTTTACTCCGAATCTTGCTTCCATAGCGTGTGACGGCATCGGCACAGGATCATTGATGTCAGCTCAGACCGTGGATTCCAGCAACATTGACAAATTTATCAACTGCACGAAGATCAATGGGAACCTCATCTTCCTTGTCACAGGGATTCACGGGTCAGTGCTCAGTTTCGTACATTGTTCTGGGAAGTGAAGGTGTTCCTTTGCATTGCATGCCTGCATTGTTGATTCACCTGAACCTAGAAGGGTTTTACCATAAAACTCTTTCCAGCCAAAGTAATGGACAGCTCGCCAGGAGTGCCGGCAACACATCTGCCTTCTGAGATGGGTCAGTATTTAGGTATGACAATGCAAACTTGTAATTAAGCTTAAATATGCTTTGAGAGCAATCTCCTACAACCCATGGTCTCAGAAAGCCCGGTTTTCAGGAAACATCACTAATACATGAAAAGAAAAATATCCTTTGACTTTCCAGAACATTAGTTCAAAATAACTTATATCCCGTTTAAAAAAAAAAAAAAACGCTCAAAGAATCTGACATAAAATCATAAAATTAAGTTGAAATTCTCCTAAGCTGCTTTTAAAAATACATTTTGTTCTGATGCATTCTTCTTTCTCTTATATGGGGAAATTAGCACAACTATAAAGTGAATTTTATTTTGGTAATAAAAATTCTTACATTATCTGGGGTCCTTTATTACAGAACCGCCTGCTGGCTTTAACTGGGGAAATAACCAAGTTTGTATACTTTCTGTAATAAAAACGTCAATAGTTGTACTTTGTATTTTATCTATTTGTCTATATTACTACTTAATCTCTAAATATTAGGGCTACAGGCTACAAATAGAGACTATCAGTCACATATTTTAATTCAAACTCTTACACTGAACATATATCACATCATTTCTGGAAGCAAAATAGCTTAACACATTATGAATAAATATTTCCAAGGAAGAGCAGCATGAGCAAGGTGACAAAGTATTTATCTTCATTCAGACAAATTATTATTTGTGCTCTTGCATGCAACATCTCTATTTAAAAATGTTGTTTTTAATATGGCCCATGTCATGTCCTGTAAAGGTATTCATGTATCTTCTGTTCGGTTGGTAATTTTTAGCCAAACCAAAGCTTTTCTTAGATTCCTAATTTCCATTTAAAACTTGGTGATTCTCCACCCACATCCATATATAACAATGATGATACTTGAGCAACTCTCACCATTTTGAGATGGGATCCATTGTGTTAACAACAGTCTCCGTACTTCCTCTTATGTCATCTGAATTGTTGATTTTAGCCTATTTAGCCCATATGAGCAGGAAACTTGGGTCAGCACTTACTCCCTTTCTTTATAATTCAGTGAGTGAGTGCATGACATCCAGTAAGTGACGTTTGTCTATGTGAATTATTACTTTTTGAAACCAAATATCCCTATGCCCAAAAGAGCATCTGTTAGTAACACTTTCTGAGGATCCGAGAAATAAGATGGAGCCAGTTAGTGCTCATTGTTTCCTGCAGCATGGACAATGCGCGAGTCATCTTTCCAATCTCTGACAGAAACTACTTAAAAGAGGATGCATTTATGTTAGTTCACAGTTTCAGAGTATAGCTAATGTGGCAAGGAAGTCACGGCAGCCGGACCTTGAGGCAGCAGACCACATTGCATGTATGGCTCACTCTCTGCATTTTATTCTACCCAGAACTCCAGCCTCTCCATCAGTGCCATGCACTTCTCAAGTTAGTCTTCCCCTGTAAACTGACTTATTCAAGATAAGTACTCACAAATCTACCCATAGGCAGCCTGATCTAGGTTTCCTCTCACAAGTGAGCTCAGAGATTTTCCTCCCAGGTGAGTCTAGATCTTCTAACATAGTTGATATGAGCTATCACAAATGTGATAAAAAAAAAAAAGTGGTTGTTTCCAGCCTTCAGTGTTCACTGCAATTTCAAAATACATTCTCGTGAACTGCAATTGCTTTAGTAAAGAGGTGATTTTTATATTGTCAGATCTAACATAAATTCATATGTGTGTGTTTATAATGCATCTGACATCTTATTAAATTCAAAATAACATCCAGAGATAATGTTCCCTTGTTAAACACATACATTTTAAAAATTAAGGCAATTCATAATTATAATTAAAGCAAAATATAAAAATGTTCAATGTGATAAAAAGTATTGCTTGAAAATTCCTCAACGTCTACTTTAAGAAATGATATTAGAAATCATTCTATTGTAGGAAGTACAGGAAAATAAAAGTGATATTGATATCTGGAGACTGAAATACAAAAAAACTAAATACATATTACCCATACATGTAACATTATTCCAAAAAAGCTTTAAATTTGTATCAATAAACTAAAATACATTCCAATATAAAATATCCTGAGATAATACCTGGTTTTATTTGGGGGGGGTTAATGTATATTGTATATTCAAGAATATATCTTTTTATTCTTTCATTTCTATATCCTATCTCCCTTTTTTCACTTAGAGATCTTTGAATTTAACTATTTTTTGGCTTTTTTTTACTATGACCAATAACAATTTGTAAACAAACCCTCTAAACAACAACAAACATCCATAATCCATTTTGGGGGAATGTGGGAGTAGTTTTCTAGGCTACTTCCTGCTGCTTGGGGGCACTGATAACCTTTGGGGGATCCTGAGAAAATTTAGAATTTTGGTCAAGTTCTGACTGGAGTATTCTCTGAGGCTGGGTCACCTCAATAAGACACCTCCAAACTGTTTTGGATGTAGAACTCAGAAGAAACTGCAACAGAGGTGCTCTGAGATGTTGGATCATCTGGAACATCTACTCATTTTAGGGATTTTTCAGAGGGGTATTTCTCTATCAAGCCTTATTTTTCTCAAGCCAGAAAGGATCTGCATCCTCTCATTTCCTGTGGAAATAAAAACAAAACATGTTTTCCAAAGGAACATATCTTTTGACTGAAATTTTGAAGTCAAGGAATTTTTAAAATACATAGATTCATTTAATCTATAAACTTTCATAATCAAATATCTCTCAGCAATGATTGTTTAGTCATTAACAGTCAAAAAATCTAAAGACAATGCAATTCTATATAGAATCCAGACTCTCTTTGTATTTTCCTTCTTCATGTGGCTTAATATGTTTTTTATTACTCTATTCCACTTTTAAGTACTTTTTCTATCTTTTATCTCCCAAGCCTACACACATTTTTTAACACACTGTAAGCCATTTAGAGGCTTTATTTATTTTCTTTTTTCTTCTGAATCTGTCTTTGTTGCATATCTCTATCTTTTTTTTTTCCATATGAGCCTCTAAATTTCTAAGAGGGCACAACTAAGACCAAAGCTATGACAAGAGACTGATTTTATTGCATTCTTTTTCCCCTAAGAATCTAGATCTTGAAGAGCTACTGGATTTAGCCATGTTTACCACTCCAATTATAGGAAGATTTTAGTTCATGCTGATGATGAGCAGTGTTCCACCTGTTGATAATAAATACTATTTAAGTGTTTGGCTGCAGGAAGTCTTAAAAGAGTCACATGGTTTTTTACTGCTAAAGCAGAGTCAGGAGACTGTCTATTAAAGGAACTGTGCCTCTGCTTGCTGCTCACAAACAGAGCCTATCAATGAAAAAGCATTTACCAAGGAGCCAAATTTGACACCTTTTTGTGTTCTTACTATCTCTTTTAAAGCTTTTTCAGACTCTATGTGGAAACTCTTGCTGAATGTTTAGATGCCATATGTAAGCAGAAGTTTCCTTTCTTGGAGTCACACAGTCCCAAAACCTGCCAGGTGCTTCCCAAATTACCATTCCGAAGTGCAATATTACTTTTAAATCTTTGACTGATAGCTCAGGCTTATCAGTACCTAGCTCATACATTTTAAGTTAGCCTATATTCCTTATCTAAGCTCTGACACATGACAGTACCTTTTCTCAGTATGCCATGCTCATCTGGCTCTTCCCACATCTGTGTGGCATCTTCTGACTCCACCTTTCTCCTTCCCATCATCTTATTTTGTTTGCTCCACCTATACTTTCTGCTTGGCTACTGGCCAATCAGCATTTTACTAAACCAATCTGAATGACAAATCTTTACAGTGTACAAGAAGATTATTCCACAGCATGCACATACTCACAGACACACAAACACACACACATAGAAGATATAACTAAGCTTCTTTGAAGCTGAGACAATATTGCTAGGGAATGACACATAAATAAGAATTCGGTGTAAAAATAGTAATCTTTGGTAGTACATTTTTAAGATTGTAGGTGACATAGGGAAATCCTTTAATATAATATGACTTGAATAGCATTGCTCTTTGGTTATTATTAAAAGCCTAATTACTGCTACAATTAAAATATTTTTATAAATGCCCCTACATTCCTCTTAATGGAATGGTACTATGCCCATTGAGAACTACTGGACAAAATTATATTAGTTGAATAGTTATTTAAATTGACCTACATATGACCAAGTTTCTTTAAAATAATGTCTGGGAGAGAAAACTTGAAAAATAATAATTTAATGAGGATTAGAATAAGTGTTTTAGCCTTGTTTCATCATAGAACTTTTTAGAGAAGTTATGCTTATCAGGATTTTATGTATTCATAGCTCTTCCAGTTGAGGTAACAGTCAACAGATAATTACAAAGCAAATAGAAACAACTTTTTCTTGGGGTCAAATGTATTGTACAATAGGAACCACGTGCAAACTATAAATCTTTAAATTTCTCATTCTGTATGGACTATAATATCACTAATTCATTCAAGTGGAAAAGAATTGCCTGCAAAAATCACCATGAGCTAGCAGTCCAAAGGTTGTCTTTAAAATGAACTCAACAAAAGACAAATGAGATCATTTATGTAGGTGACCCCATCCAGACCAGTGTGAGTTTGAATAGTAGCTACATGACGGATGGTACAAATTCGAGTCAAACACTCACCTTCCTCCAGTGAAAGACAGAGAAATGGATGGATAATAAATAGCTCTTCTGCTTGCTTTCATGAATAAATCAAAAATTATTTTGATTTGTTCAGCCCCATATCAGTAAAATCTTAATCAATGAGATAAAAGGTAAGGAAATTAGAGAGGTAAAGGTGGCAAAGGAAATGAAAAACACAAAAGGCAGGTGGAGAAGGCAGCAAAAGAAAAACCACTGTGACTTTATCTAGTTTATAGTGCAGAAAAGTGTTAAACAAATATCACTTTATGGCTTAATTGTAGCCTTTTGTAGACTATCTTAGAAAGCAAATAAAGGCAAATTTGGTTTCTGATACTTCATCATTCAGATGATTATCTGTCCTTAATCATAAGTTTGAAGCCTTGAATACTTTGAAGTCAAAATTGATACTCTTGTGTCTGGAGAAAAATATATATGACATATTTGAAAGAGAGATGTCTATAAAATATGATATATCCTCCATTCTCAATCTCATGGGAGAATGAGCCATGAAGCCCTTCACATTCATTTCATGAAACTATAACAAAAAAGCCAATTCAACAGGTCTAAGGC